AAAAAAAATAAATGAAAGAAAATTTTATTAAAAATAAATTTAAAAAAGAAATCAAAATCTGATATATTTTCACTTAACTAGCGCTTTTCAAGCCAAAAGGAGGCTGCATACTGGAAAAACCTGCTAGAATGAATGCTCCCAAAAACTATTTGGAGAATATTTTATACCAACACAACAACAAAAGCATGCTTAAAGTGCCAAAAGATTGCTGCTGCAGCAATTTTTATCAACATAGTTTGCTTATCAGCAAACGCCCACAATAGGCGCTTTGAAATATTTAAAGAAATTTTTTTTACATTTTATGTGTGTAAATATTTAAATATAACACACACAGAGACTTAAACAAATTTAATTTTAGTCAATGGGCAATCCAGAAACAAAAACTGACTTTTGGTTGGTTTTGCGGTCAGTGACCATGCTCAATGAAATAAAAATCTGAATGTAAATTTTATACACAAGAGAGACATGATTGGCGCACGATCATTAACCGCAATGTAAAAACAAAAAAAAGCAGGATGAAATTTATAAATACATATATGAAAATGTCTCGTTAGCGTCAACAGCTAATCGGTGTCATCATCAACAGGTTCACACAGTATTTTTTTATTTTGTTTCTTTTGCGCAAACTCACTTGTTTATGCAGTTCCTTGACCCAGGTTTTTGCACGCTGAAAACTGTCTTGATTTTGTATGTCGTACACAACGATGGCGGCTTGGGCACCACGATAGTACATAGGAGCTAAGCTGTGATATCTGCAATGGACAACGAATAAAAAAAATATTAAAAAAAAAGTAAAAGCATGTAAATATAGTTACACACCGTTCTTGACCGGCCGTATCCCAAATTTCAAATTTTACCACCGTATCCTCTATGCAGATGGTTTGTGTTAGAAATGCAGCGCCTATCGTACTCTCTTGGTATTCGTGGAATTGCCCTTTAACGAAACGTAGCACCAGCGATGATTTGCCCACCGCCGATTCGCCCAATAGCACCAATTTGAATTGGCAATTCTTATTTTGCTGTGTACCGTTGGGGCGCTGAGCTGTGCTGCCACTGGCATTGCCACCGCTACGTGCAGTTGTTGCCATCTTCTAGCTGTTGTTTTTGTTCTTTTTGTATTGGTATGCTTTTGTGGTGCTGGTGTTGGTGGTGCTGCTGTTGCTTCACTTGCCAACCGATTTCTATGAGCTTACTGCCACTTCCCACGTTGCTGTAGTCACAAATGTTGGGTTATAACTTTATAACTTGCGCCTAAAATTGTATGTTGTTGTTGTTGTCGCTGTTGAGTGTTGTATGTATATTTTTTGTTTACTTTAATAGTATTTCTTTGTATTTGTTCGTTTCGGTGCGAATGTTTGGATTGTAACTAGATTTACAGCTGCAGTTCGTTCAAACCATTACCGAAAAGGGACGGCCGATGTTGTCAGGTGTTGTTCTGGGGTTTGGTTTCCTGTACTGTAAAGAAAAACAGAGAAATATTGATTGTTAGTTATTATATACATTTATTATTGTTTCTATCTACAAGTCTGTCTTCATGGTGTCCATGTTATTATTGCCTATAATTTTTCGGTGCAGATTTTTGGAGCGAAACCGTACGAAAAGCGACACTTGAGTAATACAGAACCGCGATGCGCGCTTGAATTTAACACAATCCCAGAATGCCAACGCCTGGTTTATTTAATCCTTCCCAAAGTACAGAAAATTATATAATTTACAGCACTTTAAGCACTTTACACCGCTTTTACCGCCTTATGACTTCGTAAAAATATTGTTGTGCATAATATTCAAAGTCATATTAAAAATCGGCCTATGAATCACAAATGTGTATGTACCTTAGTATCAAAAATTAATGTTGATAACTTTTCACAGGTTATTAAGCTAACTTTTTTAAACATTTCTTAAATATATCGCAATTCGTTGTTAAACAAAAGAATTTGTTTTACTAATATGCCCGATTTACTTTACTGATAAGATATACAAAATAATGTACATATATGCACATAGCTAAAATCATATTCGCATGTATGTAAAAATCAACAACACTAGACTAAAAATAAACAAAGCAATGATGAAGATGATAAAACAATGACAAAAATCATTAAGCGACAAAAGCGTGTTGGTATTCTTTCGTCATTTATGCATTTACAGTACAGCGTATTAGCAACAAGTATGCGTTGCTAAATTGAAAGATAGCAAACCTACACTATATACATACGTATGTACATAGCTAACTTTGTAGGAGTAAAATTATAATTAAAAACTCGCAACGCAATTGTTTTTCTTACTAATTGATAGTAAATTTAACGACACTTCCGCTGACAGTCGCACACTCTGCGCAGTGCGACAGTGAGAAATATTCAAGTAATAATAAATGCATACAGACAGACATGCAAACATACGAATATCCAATGTGCATTTACAGAAGTACATACATATGCACATGTAAGGAAACCACTAGTGAGCCGTATTTAGTAGAGTTGAATTGTCGTTTGTCAATCGCACGCCGGTCGCTTAGTGCGCCGCTACTCTGACCAAAAACTTAATATAATAATTTTCACACTACATCCGCTTTCATTGCAGTAGAGCAAAACTGTCAGGTAATAGGGTTTAACTGACAAGTGCTCTGAACTGTTGTCGCAATCACTTTTCTCCAACTTTGCTTTCTACTGTCGTCGTCTTGTCTGTTTTCATTCATTTTTATTGAGCCCCTTGCTTGCTCGCTTACATAGTCGCTCATGTTTAGTAGGGCTTCCACAGGCAATAGCGCCGACGACTGCCGACCGCTACGCTGTAACGTTCATTAGCTGTGCTATGATCTTGCGATTGTAACTTGTCAGTCGCTACATACACAGTTACTGTGTTGGTTTTACAACTTTCATATACTATACCAAACCGATTTGCCAGTTTTACTCTCAACGACTGCGATTATATTAATAATCCCACTGACATTGACATTTGTAGGCGATAACTGCAATTGTGGGTTGAGTTCCACCAAGTGAGAGGCGGTATAAAGTTTGCCTCAATTATTGGGTGAATGATCTATAATGACGTGCAGACTATTAGTAAAGTAGATTCTATATACACGACCAACATGACGAGCTGTGTTGATTTAGCCGTGTAATTTAGCCGCAGGTTCTTTGTTCCCCAAGCAGTTGCTATTCGGCGGATCCGCCGATATTCAACCACTATAGGATATAGCTGTCATATTTCTTTGAGAATTTCCTTACGACTACATCTTTTTAGAACAGTAATTACACGTTTATTAATTGCTGCCGACCAACATACTCATTGCTTTGAGCGCATTTTGAACGCTGTGCCTTGCCCAGAAGTCAGTCTCGTCCCGACCACTTAAAACTATTGCATTAAGCGCAAACTTAATTAAACAATAACTTAATAACAATGTGAATGAATGCAAAGAGAATACTGCAAAAGGCAGAAAATAAAAGAATATTTGCAAACTACAATACTACATTGAACAAAAAAATCTAATGTGTGGGTACTAATTATGCAGCAAAAGAAAAGAAAATAGCGGCAAGTCAACAAACGAATAAAAGAACTTTACTAACGTTAATAAGCATTAAATATATGGAATATCATTCATTCAGACGCATGGTAAAAAAAAATTATTTACGAATTACACATATTTTTATTTCTAAATAATGTAAACAAACGCCTTGGCATTGAAATATAATAAAGGCAGAATTGTTTTGAGTTGAGTTGTAAAAATTTTTCACCAGAGTATAACTTTTTGGTTCTGAAATCTATGTTTTTACGAAGTGGCTGAATTTTTTATAAATATCCTCATGAACATTTATAACATAGTAATTTATTTCAAGTAACAATCGATTGTGTTTCGAACTAATAAAATTTTTTTTTTCAACTAAAGCCACTTTTCAGCGACTTAACCAAAGGCAAAAATATTTCCCTTACTTAACAGCTAACAACACAAATAGGCGCTACCAAACACTCTTAGCTGTGTTTGAAGATCATGTGATGCGCGCTGTGAGAACTGAATTACTTAGGTAGCAATAATGTCGTGCAAAGCACCTTTAAGTATAAATAAATAATCTGTTAGAATAAATGCGCAAAATTGAATGAAAAATATTAAAAAAAAAAACGTAACTTAATACGTCATTGCAACTCCACCAAATTGAATGCATGGGAGCATTTGTGTGGAAATTTATATGAGTGAATATGTAGTTGGATTTACTTCCAAGGACAAATTACACATTGGACAGCTGGATCACTGAAAAACTTAGTGGACATATTTACAAATATAAACATATTTGTTACGTTCATATTAAACATTTTAGTATTTACATATGTACGATAGAAACAAGTAACGTTATGGAGAAAAATTATATTGAAATGCAATAATACTCCTGGAACTCATACCAACACACACGAATACCGACTGCTGCCTCACGCAATATTGTATACTTGACCACCACTATTGTAGAGCAACCCTGCAATACTTTTTGTGAAACTCTGTATTTTTTTATATCCAAGTAACATAAAATTTTTCATCAATTAAATAAACTGATAAATTCAGTAAAATATACAACATAATTATACAAAACGAATTGCACTTAGCACAGTGAAATTTAATAAAGGAAAACAGCTGACGCCGATACAAAACGAAGTACGATGCGTCATCGTAGAACTGATATAGAAAAACATGAGAGAAAAGCAAAACGGTGGAGACGAATGAGAAACGTCAACAAGTGCAGGATTATTTGACATCTTTTCATGTTTCCCTACATCTCCTCACTTAGGAGCGTATATTTTACTTGATGAAAAAATTAACAAAAATCTATTGTTTTGATAAATGGGAGCCAGCAGTTATCAGTCACTATTTTAGTAAATAAAACACTTAGGGAACTGATTAAGTAATTTTAAGAAAGTTAGTGGGCGTTTCCAATAAGCGAGTGGCATTTCAAATAATTTAAATCCCCTCAACATTCACATCATACAAATCCAACTATTATTGTGAACGCTTATTTTATGTTTTCATCAAATTTTTCTCTACTTAACACACAATTGCAACATCCACGTTTTACTAGAACACTCTGAAAATTGAAAAGCTCTTATTATCCGCACTGATATCACCGAACACTCCCCGCCTTATATCTATGGGGCGGATTTACAGTACTCCGATAATATTCCAAATATATACATATGTATATATGCTTGATAATAAATGGGGACAACAGGCAATTAAGAAAAGGATAATGTAAAAGAAAAACATTATGCAGAAGTCTCCAAATCCTTCCTAGTAGATACAGAAGGTAATAATTGAGTAACTTTTAAGCCGTAGCACAATATATAATTTACATCGAATTGCGACGTAAGAGCTAGTTCCAGCAGTACAAAGAAGTCGTAAATTAAATTAAACAAAAGCAGACAAACACAGCAGCCCTGCTGACTTCGTCTTCTGGAAGAGAAACTCGTCGCCACGGCACCGTATACAAAGAAAATCACAATATAAACACAAATTATATATTATTAAGTCAACGCAAATATTTAACGCAACTCGTACTTGATTTTGCTTTAAATTTTACACAAATTATTGCTTTAGCTTTGCTTTTGCTGCGATTTTACGTTTTTACAGATTTCGCGAACAGCAAATTGAGAAATGCACTTTCTTTCGAACACTTGGATTTGGCAGCACTGGAATGCCCAGCAAAGCATATGTCACCCACCCAACACTATATGCTATCCCGCTTCAACACTCACTAAATACCTTTAGCACCCACATTGTTTTTATCACTTGTAGCGCAATATTTGTCCTACTCTTGCATACGGTTGAATGCGTATGAGCCGTCATTACAAAAAAAATATTCATGGCGCTACACTGATAGTCCCCGTGGATTCCCCTGTTGCTTTTTACTACTCTAGCATCCACAAACACCACCATCATTGCGATGACTCGTTCATCGTTAAGAATTTTCTGTGGAAAAATCCAGCATTTCATTGCTTCTCCAATAATAATCGGTTATTTTACTTAATTAAGTACCCGAAAAGACAAATTGCGCATTCACCTTAGCAATTTTTATCCTTCACTTGAATTGTTTAAATGTGGGCTTACAAAGCCGCCTCTTTTCTCAAATAAATTTTTCCACGGAATGCAAAATATAATGGTTACTCTTTAATGAAAACAGCACTTTCTCGCACAAATTGCAAACCGCACAATACGTGTTATATGGTGATGACAACAGCAATGGCATCGAGTAAAACTGATTGCTGGTTAAAAGTCGGTTATCGACTAGTAATGGGTTAACGTAATTATTTATTTATTTGCACATACTATATTCGGACCGACAACGCCTCATGTTTTCGTGGGAAAAACTATTTATAGTCCATGTAAAATCTATCAAACGAAACACAGTTTTCGTTGAAAACTACTTGAAAACTTACATTCCACTTATTATAATCGGTGTCTGCTCTAGTTTAATCGATGTTTTTGGAAGACATGTTTGGCCGGCCGTAAATTGTCACTTGATATTTGTTTACATTCCACATACAAATGCAGCTGTCGCCTGATATTCTCATGTTATGGGGATTCTCTTGCTCTTGCAAAACCTTGCACCGTGCAGAAATTGCAGAATTTCTGTTTAGTGCAACGGCACAACAACAAACACACGCAGAAAATTAATTGCAATGGCTGTCAAATATGTCAGATCAAAACCCATGTTTATTTTGGTGCCGGCATATATCACTAGATGCAATGGGTGCTCTCTTGGCTTTGCATATTTCGGTATAGGATTTTTGCATTTTGTGTCATCGTTCAATCTTGCAAGAGCAAGAGAATGCCGCTTTTGATAACTGTCAGTGAAATCTCATCGAAAACACACATTGTCGGTCCGAACCACTTAGATTCCACAACATAGAAATGTGTTTTCAAAATGTTTTCAATGTCGCCCCGAACGTAGTAATACAAATATATTAACGGACTAAAAATCCACATGCTAATTAGCCATATTTGCGGTAAAACAAAATTAGTTAAGGCAAAATTAAATGTTTGTACAAGCAATAAGAACTATACTGAATATCTGCTATACACATTATAATGTTAAATGTAATATAATATATGTATTATTTAATATAAAATATCTAGCTAACCTGGCGGTAAAGACTCTAGAATTGCAGTGATGTACAGCGACATCTGTTGTATTAACTATCTATCGATTTATGAAAGAATAGGAAATTGGCAAGTTGTAGTAGTTCGTGACTCCGCTAAATATATTTTTGGCGGAAAACATCACGCTTCCTGTCAAAAACATATGTATTTATAATGACAGTAAAGAATTAATTGCTTGCGTGAGTTTTTCTGATTTAAAGTTCTTTATAAAATATTTATTTTTGCAAAAAGTGCGCGTAATATTGTAATATATTGTGATCTAAAGCAAATCCAGTGCATGTAGTGTATGTGTATTATAATGAAAACGAAATACAATAGCGAAAATAAGCCAGACGACGAAACCCCATTTGCTGCAAGCAACGTTGAGTGCCCCTCATCCATTCATGTTTGAATTTTGGTAAGAAATAGTATTCGAAATACATATGTATATATTTACTGATATTACTGTAATTTAAAGCAAATCTTGAACAGGAATAATTGGTTTTGCGACTTCTTGTTAAAATATTGAGGTTATGGATAACTCTGGTTTGTATCTAACACTCGTTGAGTAGTGCCCATCCGAAGTCTGTATTGTTGACCGAAAAATTTGAATTTTGGCACGAAATGATGTTCGATATACATATATATGTATATTTACTGAAAATAATGGAATTAGAGGCAGGCAAGCAAATATTCTTATTCTTAAAATTGTGAGGTTATGCAATAACGCTGAGTTCTAACTAGCACTCTAAAGCACGAACTTTGTATTCAAGCAGCGTGAAGCCGATAGTTTCGGCAGCAATTCTTTAAACAACAACCAATTTTAAGAAACCCGTTTGCTACCGGTTATAATATCTACTTACCATCAAAATCAATCAAATCAGTTGAAATTAAAAACCAAATATTTTCTGTTCCGCTGTCGAGAGCTTTACAGTTTTTCAATCTTTATTCATTTTCAATATTCTCCTTCTTCCTCTGAACATTACGCTGGTCACGTAAAACTATTTTCTACAAATTACATTATATGAGTATTTAAGTAATTATATGACAATATTGATTTGGTTGAGCTAGTGAATATTGTTCGATTTTTTTCTTGTCATTAATTACCAATATTTTTTTATAATATGTAGGTTTATATGATTACTAGATGAATATTAAATTAAAAATAAATCTAAAATAAAAATATTGCGGGCGATGTGCTGGACCAGTTGTTATTTTCCAAGCAACACCGTGACCGCCAGGTGACTACCAATAAGACATACAAGACGGGGCTAGAACTGTTATAAACTAAAGTTAAATTTTGATATTACGCTAATTACAAATGTTTACTTATTATATATTTTATTATTATATATACTATGCACTATTTACAAGCCTGACTTACGATTATACATATATGCGTTCATTTTGATACCAATTAAAAAAATCGCTAATAAATCGCAACAAGCATAACACATTTTTACAATAATATCATTCTGCAGAATCTTAATATTTGCCTCAAGATATTGGCAGAAAACAGAGGCAGCGCCAAAAATTATTGTTGTTATCTTTGGCAAGTGTCCTTTGCTTTCCAGCCCATTAAAACAAATACAACTCCTTCTCCGCTCACACACCTTCTTTCTTGCATTCATGTAGCATTAATTTTACTTCGCCACAAGCAGCTAAGGATATTTATACAAGTAAACGCTTACTTGCGCTCGGCACCTTTCTGATTGGCCAGTTGGGTAGTCGACGTCGCTAGCCGTTACTTCCACATCCTTTATGGTGCTTGCAGCCAATGAGCGAAATGCCAATTTGTCAGTTGTTGTTCGTTTAGGCGACGACGCTCTCATACTACTTGGCGCTCTCGCGCCTACTCACACAGGCACACCAATCTCAGCGTGTGGCTACCACTCAAGCACCACCACCGCTACTCCGAATGCGCCAAATTTCACGTGCTGGATATATACATGACTCAAGCGGCAAAGGCGCGAGCTATGTCCTGCCACCAGGCGTATGAGTGACACTTTACACACTAAATACTACTTACAATCCTACTCTCTCTCTCTCTGCGACATGGCGCATCAGCACAAATCGCGTGATTGCAAGACATAGCTAAGGATACTCGTTTTTCCTTGCTTTTGCCGAGTGAAATGCATTTCCGGTGGTGCATTGTTTTTTTTTGTACGCGCGTTGGAGTGTGTGTTGGTGCGTCAGCCGGCGAAAGCCAGTGACGTCGACGTTTGTATGTTTGCGCTTGACTGCAGCGTGGTAATTGCCAATCGGTGAGATTTATGTGTGTCGGTTTTGTGTGAATGAATTGGCGGTTAAGTGTGGCTAACTGCTGTTTGTATTGCTGTTACAATAGAGAGGAATTGCACGCCTGTAATAAAAAAGAAAGCATAGCGTAATTAGTTACAAAGTTATGAGAGTTCTTTAGATAAAAATATGTGTTTGAGGTTGATTATATTTTGTTGAAAATAAAAATGAAAAATATATTTCGGTTTAAAGTGAAGTTCATACTGAGTACTTTTATATGTTGGGAAAAATAATATTAAAAACGTTCCAAAAACTTAATTTGAGGTTATGTACTTGTACATATACTTTGTACATTTCTGATTAAATGAATTTTATACGCTTATATATTCTGCAAAATCTTTAATTTTAAGGTTATGTACTATTCGATAAATTTTTTGTAAGAAAATAAAAATTTCCATTTCTTGAACTTCGATATTGCTCACGATTTCAATGGATCTAAATTTGGTTAAATATACATCCATACAAATGTATTTTTTAATGAAATCGTGGCACCTTAGTAATTTTTGTTTTGTAAATAGTGACACGTTTAGCGGACTAAAAAGTTACAGAAATAATTTTTTATTATCGAATGTTGCTTTCTAGTTGCAGAAAAATTAAAAAAAAATATATAAATT